TTGGAAAGCAAATGTTCTAATTACTCGACCACACACCCATACATACATAGATGCATGCATACATACCTACATCGTGGAAGTCGCCTTGTGAGTAAGACCACCCCCAGGGCTTATAACACTCAAGGGAAAATTTCCAGGATGATTTCAATGTCGAAAAATATTTTGGTAGATGGGGGTGATTCTCTGTTCACGTTTATCGTTGAGGAAGTCTGTCCTCGAGAAGCGGTCACGGTCACATGCATCACTCTATTGTACCCCTTTCGAGAAGAGGGTTGACGTCCTTCATATATCTACTAGTTCAACTCAGCCTAAGCAAATCTTCAACACCAACAGCAATCAGATTTCTTCACGCCTCCTTGTTTGAAACACTATGTTCTCAGGTGTTTATATCTATGTTGACCTTTTGAATTGTGCCATTAAATAGCATAGGAACTAATATGTTTGATAGCTTGATGCGTGAAATTGACGGTCCTTTTCAATGCTGATTCCTATCTATCTATCTATCTATCTATCTATCTATCTATCTATCTATCTATGCGTCCTAAATGCAAGCATTTGCGCGTCTTGCATTTAGGACGCTTGCCTTGCGCGAGCTCACTATACAGCGTCTGTTTCGACATGCGAGCGTCTTCTAAGCGGACAAATTGACCAGCCTATCTAAGGATCATGGATTTAGTGACCGTTTTACAGCCACATCATGTTGACACACCAGTTCCCATACGATCACCGAAGTTAAACAACATCGAGTCTGGTCAGTACCTAAATGGGTGACCGTTTGGGAATACAAATGCTGTAAGCTTGGATGTGCGGATGGTGCAATAGAATTGTTAATTGAAGAGTCGAGTTTCAATTTTCAGTTGGTTTCACTTAAACGCAAAATGAATCCACCTCTTATCCCCTAGCTATGGGTTAATTAATAAACTTGTAACACTAAATCATTATCATCTCCCCACAAAATTCTTAGAGTCTAAAAATATTCTCAGGCTTTAAATAACCAGCAAAGTTTTGATAAGCCGTAGAAAACGAATCAGTCGATCAATTTGATCCATTATGGTAAAGGTACTAAAGAACATTATATTAGCATACTAATTATATGAACATACTAATGAACATTATATTAACTCGGTTGTCAGGGTTGAAAATCAACACCTGAATATCCAGTTTGACATTCGCTCTGGTAAGACGTGCAATAATGGCATATATGCAATCAAACGACTCCGGGAAATTGTTTACCTCTCCAATAAAAATTGTATACCCTGCTATGTGGACTTCACATTAGCATACGACCACATCAATAAACACTTTCTTTTCTCATCCATTAGAAAATGCCTTGCAAGTTTCGAATCCACTGAATGTCTGGATCTGATCGAAGAACGACATCGGTCCACAAAGTCGTACATGTCGTATCTGACATATATGTGACACGATTTACACACACACACATATATATATATATATATATATATATATATATATATATATATATATATATATATATATATATGGAGAGAGAGAGAGAGAGAGAGAGAGAGAGAGAGAGAGAGAGAGAGAGATGTTTATTTTGATTAAATTTCTTATAAGCAGAAGTGTTTAGATTTTTACGCCCGAAGTTCAAGTTGTTTTTAATTATATATACATTAACGTTTACACACACACACACACATATAGCAATAGAGTCGCGAGATGATATATATATATATATATATATGTGTGTGTGTGTGTGTGTGTGTATGAGTGCGTGTAAGCGCGCAAATTTATAAGTTTATGTAGGAGTGCGTATTAGAAAATGTTATAAGATGTGCGTACTTAAGTGAATGTATATTGAATGGGTGTGGATTTGCTTATGTATTTAGGTGGGTATTGGTAATTGGCGAATATTAGCAGGTTTTATACATTTACACACACACCCACAGACACCCCCGACACGTAAACACACACACACACACACACACACACACACACACACACACACATATATGTATAATGGAGTTCTAAAATGTTCTCGGCCAGACCCACTTTTCAATATGAGTGTTTCAATAACCAAGCAACAAAATACTGATATTTAGAACTCAGGCCGAGAAGTTTTTAGCACATCCTTGTCTATATAATAAATAGATAGTATCTATAAAAAAAAAAAGAAAAAAAAAAGCATTACTTCTTCCTAGGATCATACTACTGGCGCTTTCCGTCCAAGATTTAATTCTCTCTCCCCACTCCTGCGAACTCTGCCGAGGGTGCTGAAATATTCTCCGTTTCACCGACTTCTCGAAATCTGACTATGACCAAACAACTGTTTGAATACTCATTCTTGATCGGGCCAAGAATCAAACACACACACATATATATAATGGTCGAATACTCGTTTCCGAGTACACCCGTCTGTTAAGGATGGTTAGGGTGGTTAGCTAGTCCATGTTGCGGACGCCTGCTCAGTCACATTTGTATTTTTTAACACCCACAATATGTACATTGTGACTATACTGGGCGGACTTTAGTTACGGTTTTTGGGTGAGAGAGCATAACTTGATGTGGCCAGTAGTTTGAACGAGTCAATAGTTTCAAACCCTCGGTCAAAATGACTTGGGACTTCATGCTAAAAGAAGCATCCCGAACAGTTCCGTTTATTCTCAAGATTTTGGTCAAACCATGGCATGGTTTTCAGTCATTTTTATAACGTTGTCCCATGTTAAAATCGCTTCTACAGACCGTTATCACGAAGCCATATTCCTGACAAACGCGTGGCCCAGTGATTAAAATGTTCACTTTACCGACTATGAGGCCCAGGTTCAAATCTCACAGGTTCAATTTGTCAGCTATCCTACCTCTCTCTCTGTATATATATATATATATATATATATATATATATATATATATATATATATATATATATATATAAAAACATGATTGTAACTATGAATAGCAACACATATTTCATCAAAATTTGGTTAACAGACCGAAATAGTCGGTGACATAATATGTAAGTGTTTTATTCGCAACAGGTTGGGGAAACGATATATACATTTTATATCTCAAGAACAATTTTGGGAAAATCTATAACAAAGTGGAAAATATTTTTCGTGTGACGCGTTTCATCCTTTAAGACTTCATCGGACTAATGTGATGTTTACGTTGATGCGATTACACATGCGTAAGAAGGAGAGGGGACTTTGAAAATTTTTAATTTAAATTAAATAAAAAAAATGTTTGGGCAGTTAGCCTAGCCGATTTTATTTAGATTCTTTTTATTTATGGTTTTTTTAAACTTTTTTGTTATTCAGTATCACGCATTGTAATAATAGAAACTCTAAAGAAAGGGGAAATATAAGAAACTGGATGTAAATTTATTGTGGATGAACGATTAAAGCATTTTTAATACATTTTCGTGTGATATTAAATGAAATCGCCCAGACTATAAACCGAAACACATTTAAAAAAATATTTTATTATAGTGCTCGATATCAAGAGATAGAGTTTTAATAGTAATAAGTAATGAGACAAGATAAGTAAACATTTGATTTTATTTATTGCTACATGTCTGTGTGTCTGTATGTCTGTGTTTAAATTTCGTCAGCAATCACTTATTAATGCGCATTTTCCTAAAAAAATGATCTTCTCTTCTGTGTTCTTTTTGACAGACCATTTTCTTTTTCTTTCTTTTTTTCGTTTATAGTCTACTTAAAAACGCTAAAACGTTTGACCAACACTTGATGACTACTCTAATAAATTGTCTCATTTCCGCCCGATTCATTTAAATACTTTGCCCCTAATGAGACTAGCCCAAGTTGACCAGGGCTGGAGCCAGGTCGGCGAGACGTGTGCCAACACAATTTTGCCACTCAGCCTTCAAAGTCATCGACTTCAAGCATCGACGACATGCAGCATATATCGACCAACCCAACCCCTAACTCCTTTCCAACCAAGTGGCATTTCTGCAGTAAGTATCTAGCCATGGCTGCAGTGTTAGCATTTAGGCATGAAGAATGAATATTCAGAGGTTCTTTTCTAAGTCACATTTCGGGAAGACGTATTGAAAAATGAGTTGACGAGTTGAACATACTTTTAAAACAAATCGGTTTTCTTTTGATAAGTATTTACCCCGTTTGACGGCCTAAAAGATACACAGGGTCAGATAAGACCACACCCTTTTCAGCAGGGGATATCCAGGAAAGAACATTAATGATATAATACAACAAATATAGGCTATCCATTAATAATGGAAATCAAAGAACAAAAGTAGGTATCCCCGAAGAAACATGATACCTAAGGTTTAAAATAATTTTAAAAAAAAACTTTCTTGAAGCTTATATTTTAGTTTAAATTTCAAGCTAATATATTAAATTTAATATTTCTGCAAAGCAAAATACTTTACTCTATTGTAAAACTAATTAAAATTGACTGGAATTATTTTTATAAATCAACAAAAATCGCTGATTTTAGCGCCATTTAAGCCATCTGTCATCACAATGTAATTCTCTCGTTCAAAAAGTAGAATATACTTTTGTGAAACTTTATTTGAAGGATATTAGCTAATTCAAAGTTTGCTTAATCTGATTTGAAACAAATATTACTTTTAGTTTAAAATATCACAGGAATGCATTTTTAGCACAGAGGTAGCAGTTTATCTAAGGTGCTGACAGCTTGACTGACAGCCGGAGGTTTATCTAATTTTTTTTTACTACGGGGAAAATATCTGTAAAATGACTTGAGAAATATAACGTGATCGCCTTTTTATATAATTGTAACTACTCAGTAATCTTAAAAATTTAGGAAAGCATTCTCCATAATCTAATGTTTTACTGAATTGTTTGGCTTTTACTATAGTTATCGCTCCTATTTTCTGATAATGTCGTATATGGACGTCCGTATTTACAAAAATCGGTACGTTTATACACACAAAAGTGGAAGATTAACTGATTTACAGTTTAATTAATCTGAATTAAAACAAATATTACTTTTAAGTTAAAATATTGCAGAAAAGCATTTTTAACCCAGGTAGACGTTTTTATGAAGTGTTGATAGATTTATGGATAGCTTAATGCTTGGCATTTTTAAGTAAAAGGCACTTAACTGTAAAAATTACTTGAATACAAAGTGATCACCTTTTTATATAATTTTTAACTACACAGTAATCTTTCAAATTTAGGAAAATATTCTAATAATCTAATATTTTATTGTATTTTAGGTGTGACACTGCGGCTATAAGGTGGTTAAACATTAATTCTGGGCAGAGAAGGGTTAAGCCCAAAATGAAACAAACTAGAAGATAGAGAGAATGGAAGAAATTTTCCCTGGTAATGTGGGAGTGAAGAAAGGGCCATCTGGATTGTATTGTACAAATTGGACGATGCACTAAAGGTTTACTTTCTTTATCTATCGAAAATCTAGCATGCGGGTAAAGCAAATTGGGAACTGGCTTTATCTCTTTATTGAGAAATTAGGAAAACACATGTCACTGGCAAACAGAAAAGTAGGCAGGAATTATATTTTTGTTAGCGAAGACGAAATGAGAAATGAAAACAGAATGAACCTGCTTCGATGGTTAACATTACGAAAATCGATCTGTCATAACAGGCATGTGATCTGGCCTATGTTTTCGCTGAGATGGCGACCGGCCCAGGGATAGAAAACAGAGAGTCTCTTTGTTGAGAATTTAGGTAACCAAATATATTTTCATTGACGAAAACAAACTGGGAAATAATTTTATCTCTCGCTCGGTATGTTAAATGAGAACGAATTTCTGTTAACGGCTCGGATGTACTGTACGATTAAGGTTAGAGTTATGAAAAAAATTCTGTCA